AGTGTAGGGACACTGAGGATTCTCCCCGCTCCCCCAGTTCCATCACTTATGTATTTGTCTGTAATTCCACAAAGTTATTTACAAGTTTTCATACAATCCTCATCTCTGTAATTATGCGTTCAGTGTATGTATGTATGTATGTATGTATGTATGTATGTATGTATGTATGTATGTATGTATGTATGTGTGTGTGTGTGTGTGTGTGTGTGTGTGTGTGTGTGCGTGTGTGCGTGTGTGTGTGTGTGTGTGTGTGTGTGTATGTATGTATGTACGTATGTATGTATGTATGTATGTATGTATGTATGTATGTATGTATGTATGTATGTATGTATGTATGTATGTATGTAGGTATGTATGTATGTGTATAACTGAGTGAAGGGGACTAGAGGGGATAAAGAACGTTGTGTTTATAAACATTTTAATATTACAAATTTCTGAGCTTGGCAAAAAAAATCCTTTGCTGGAACCAAAAAAATAATTTCCTGTTTCAGGTGACCTTAATCTGATATATGGCCTCTTTCATCTTAAACCACCATACCTTTTGTGGCTGATCCTGACCTAGAATATTTTGGTGAGAGGATATTTTTTTAAAAGCTCTTACTTAAAGTGTTGTCGTTGAAGCCTTGATTTTTTTTCCTTTGACCGTTTATAATGTTATTCCTCTTATATATATATCATCCTTCTCTTTCACACGAGGCCATTTTAAAATTCCAATTTACATTGTTTTGGTTCTGTTGAGATTTTAACGAGCCATTCTCAACCCATGGACTCCATACCCCGGTATTAAAGTGAAGGCATCAAACTATTTTTTATTCCATGAAAAAAATATATATGGGTAATTTTCAAGACCGAATGAATAGTGTGTAGTTGAAACGTGAGCATTTATAAAGACACCACGCAGTCCACCCCCCACACCACGCCCTCTACAACACACCACGCCCTCTACAACACACCACGCCTTCCACTCCACCACGCCCTGTACGCCACATTACGTATTAACACCTGCCACACTGTGGTATTAACACCTGCCACACTGTGGTATTAACACCTGCCATACTGAGGTATTAATACCAGCCACACTGAGGTATTAACACCTGCCCCACTGAGGCATTAACACTTGCCACACTGAGGCATTATCACCTGCCACACTGTAGTATTAACACCTGCCTCACTGAGGCATTAACACCTGCCACAGTGAGGCATTAACACCTGCCACACTGAGGCATTAACACTTGCCACACTGAGGCATTAACACCTGCCACACTGAGGCATTAACACCTGCCACACTGAGGCATTAACACCTGCCACACTGAGGCATTAACACCTGCCACACTGAGGCATTAACACCTGCCACACTGAGGCATTTGTGGGAAATTTTTACCCACCTATCAATATTATCATCTAAGAAATGTATAATTTCTATATCATACTTATATCATATCAAAATCATATAAAATCATATTTGAATCATTATAAATTCATTAGACATCTTGAACCTAGATGACAATGCCCCTATGATCACGTACACCGTAGGGCCCTATAGGCGCCTACGTGACTTTGTGCTTGATCTCTCAAGGATCCAGAAGCTTCTAGAAGGATTTCTTAATTAAAAAACTTTTGGAACATGATTTGATTTCCGGTAGGGATTATAAATCGAATCCTTAATAAGAATCAGTGGTACTTTCAAGTACTACTTATAATCTTTAAATCCTATATCTAGTTTTATTATAATCACACCTTATCTCAATCATAAGTCTAGATAGTAAAAATAATCAATCAATATTCATAGAAGGCTACCGTGCTCTGGGAGCATGGGGGGGGGGGGTCGATGGCTGGGAGAGCAGCGCCCACCACACCCCGCGGCACTACGCGTTTGTTGACCTCACAGTGAACAAGTGTGAGGGTACCTTAGCGAACATTACTTAGTTCAGGACACCTTATTTAATTATCTTTATACCCAATGAACACTCTCTAGAACTGGGGAAGTACCTGGGGAATATATCTACAAGGAAAATTCCTAGAACATTTATATCTCTTTAAGTGTAGAGTGGAGCACACAGTGACTTTTGTCTCCACCTTCACCATCAACTATCATCCTTCTGCAACGCAGTTAAGGTAAAATCACGTAGCAATGCTACAAGAAAAATCTACAGCAAAGCTGTGATATAAAATATTGTGCCTAAACTCGTGACAAGAGAGTTATCAAGTCTGGCACACTGTCAGACAGGCATTCCGGCAGTCAAAGAAGTATATTGATGTTATTGAGTATTAATTAGCCAACTGCATGCTTGTATGACTTTAATATCCTATAAGTCTGTCTGTCGGTTATAAAGCGAGGCAATGCCTCATATTTCAGTAAGTTTATTAAAATTGTAGTGCAGCAGTTGAGTCTTTACGCACCAAACCTCATGAGGGTCCATTGTGTAAGAAAAATTCAGTCACGATAAATAAACAAACCCTCATGAATGTCCATTGTGTGGGAAAAGATTCAGTCAGGCTGACTGCATCTATTCATATAAATTGAATATGAATATATGTGTATATATACTTGAATATATAAATTAAGTTAACAATTGCTTGCTTAGTTATTTTTAAGTTATCATAAAAGTTCATTTAACTGAATATAATCTTTAGTACTTAGTAACAGTACTTAGACTACATTTAAAGTCATTTATTATACTTTCACAATTTAAATTGTTGTTTATAGTATAAAAATATATTGGCTGCTAATAGTTATTGTGCTAGGCTAGACTATGTACATGTTTAAATCTCTGATTTAAACAGACCCAGTGTTCAGTCATATAACTGAATTTATTAAACCTTATCCTTGTATAAAATACAAGCTGATGTGAGATACCTGTCAGCAGGTGGACTGTGGATCTTCAATCAACCTATCAACTAATTCATTCACCTCACCTGCCCCTTACAGCCCACAATCTGTCATTAGGAAAAGAGGAGCTAGGATTTACGACCCTAGCTAGAGATTTTAGTTGAATTAATTTGCAGACAGTAATTTTTAATTTAGTTCAGTACAAGTCCCCTGGTAGTCTCCTCTCATATCAATCTCGACAGGTTTTTCCCACAGCATTAACACCTGCCACACTGAGGCATTAACACCTGCCACACTGCGGCATTAACACCTGCCACACTGTGGCATTAACACTCTCCACACTGAGGCATTAACACCTGCCACACTGAGGCATTAACACCTGCCACACTGCGGCATTAACACTCTCCACACTGAGGCATTAACACCTGCCACACTGAGGCATTAACACCTGCCGCACTGAGGCATTAACACCTGCCACACTGAGGCATTAACACCTGCCACACTGAGGCATTAACACCTGCCACACTGAGGCATTAACACCTGCCACACTGAGGCATTAACACTTGCCACACTGAGGCATTAACACCTGCCACACTGAGGCATTAACACCTGCCACACTGAGGCATTAACACCTGCCACACTGAGGCATTAACACCTGCCACACTGAGGTATTAACACCTGCCACACTGAGGCATTAACACCTGCCACACTGCGGCATTATCACCTGCCACACTGCGGCATTAACACTCTCCACACTGAGGCATTAACACCTGCCACACTGAGGCATTAACACCTGCCACACTGAGGCATTAACACCTGCCACACTGAGGCATTAACACCTGCCACACTGAGGCATTAACACCTGCCACACTGAGGCATTAACACCTGCCACACTGAGGCATTAACACTTGCCACACTGAGGCATTAACACTTGCCACATTGAAGCATTAACACCTGCCACACTTAGACATTAACCCCTCGCTCTACGAACCTCAGCAACATGCGTTTAGGTAAATATATTTTAGCAACATATATTTTTAGATCAAATTACACCCCTTCAGGAAAACCTAATTGTTACAAAAAAAAACATTCAATTAAGATGACTTATTTAGGGTAAAATTCGAATTTCAGTGAACTAGACTTTCTTGCGTATATGTTTGTTTCAATCTTCGTATCCCAGGTAAATCTGGATAATATTCCATGCTTCTTATTATTTTATTTATTTATTGTTCTTGATCACCTGGTCTGAGAATACATGGGCAGACTTCTCTCTGGTAATACATTATTCGGCTCTCCATAAGCATGTTCATCAGTGCAATAAAACTCCGATATATAATTGGAATGTCAGGAAAGTTAAATACTATTTGAGATAAACAGCAGAGTTACGACCCAGAAGTGAAAATTGACTTCACTTCTCCGTAACCACTGTTAGGTATGCACTTCTAGGAAAGTACCTAGTCCTCCTCCAGCTTCTCTGTATATTCCTCCCTTCCTTCTACTTCTCTTCCTATTCCTCCTTTACCTCTGCTTCTCTCCCTATTCCTCCTTTCCCTTTGCTTCTCTACCTATTCCTAATTTACCTCTGCTTCTCTCCCTATTTCTCCTTTCCCTATGCTTCTCTCCCTATTCCTCCTTTCTCTCTGCTTCTCACTCTCCACCACCATCATCCTCCTTTTCCTTCTCTCCCTCCTCCTGTTTCCCCACGCCATCCACCTCTCTAAGCTACTCCATACCTCTCACACGGGCCGCCTCCGTAGTCATGAGACCAATAGCGTAGATATTCTGAGGTCGATTTTCAGCCCACACTGAGGTCTCGCTCCACCGCACACTCCGCTCTCAATTCCAACGGTGATCACTCCGTAGGGAACCCGGCCTTGCTTGTATTATTACGTCCAAGTTGCGACTCGCGGTGTGTGGTGGCTGGAACAATCGATGTACATTGTGTGTATATATATATATATATATATATATATATATATATATATATATATATATAGAGAGAGAGAGAGAGAGAGAGAGAGAGAGAGAGAGAGAGAGAGAGAGAGAGAGAGAGAGAGAGAGAGAGAGAGAGAGAGAGAGAGAGAGAGAGAGAGAGAGAGAGAGAGAGAGAGAGAGAGAGAGAGAGAGAGAGAGAGAGAGAGAGAGATAGATAGATAGATAGATAGATAGATAGATAGATAGATAGATAGATAGATAGATAGGTAGATAATATATATAAAATTGAAACAGGAATTTCCTTAAGTACCTTCGTATTTTAATAATACATCTTCATAAGGAATGCAACTACTGCACGCTTCTTCAGGTAGACTACAGAGTTCAGGCTGTGGTTCTCTCAGACCATACAGCCCTCCACCACACACCTCACCCTCAACCAACACTGAACACGGCAATGTTCGATATTCCTGTTGTCAACAGTGGACACTCTGGGCAATACGAGGGATAATAAGTCTGGACTTGTATTATATAACGATGGCTTGAGTCGTGCAAGTTACCGAGATTTTCGTTTATCTTTCTGTGAGGATCATTAATGCAGAAAATAGCTCCAATACAATAAGAACCACAGCAACTGTCCCAGCTGACTTGATTATAATAGTAATTATCCTTACTGAATATATTAAGAGTAGAAGCAACTTGGGATAGACGGTAGAGCGACGGTGTCGCTTCATGCAGGTCGGCGTTCAATCCCCGACTGTCAAAGTAGTTGGGCACCATTCCTTTTCCCCCGTCCCATCCCAAACCCTTATCCTGACCCCTTCCCAGTGCTATATAGTCTTAATGGCTTGGTGCTTTCTCCTGATAGTTCCCTTCCCTTCTATTGGCTGTGTTAAGAGCAGTATTAAATACCAGCTAAAGCAAATTTGGACATTTTTTCATGCAAACTTACCATCAGTCGTTTTATATTTAGAATTTTCTTCATTTGTATCAAGGAGAGTGTATAATCACGCAAGAGTTCTGTTTTTCAGTTGTATCAGCATCTGTCATGCACGAATTTGCATCTTTATCAAGAATTAGTGAATATTGATTGCCGGAACTAAGATCGTTATTAACAAAAATGTTTACGGGTCTCTGTTGTGCTTATGTACTCCATGAATCCAAACTGTCTTTCTGTTATCATTATTAAACATTCATAAAATTTTCCAAAACATACCAATGTATAGATGAAGCACAATGACAATACAAACACACACGCACAAACAGCACTAAAATGAAACATCCATAACGGAGGTATGACCAGTCTGCCGTGAGAGGCCGCCAGGAGCAGATGTTGAAATGACGTTTTCCTATTCACTGGCAACGTATTTTTGCATTCTTCATCAGCAATATTGAATTGCACGAAAAAGAACCGAGTGGGGGAAGGGGACAAACTTGTATGCTTAACACCAATTGCGTCTTTAGGGTCCTGAACATGAAACTCTCCGTGAGTAGGTGATCCACCCCAAGTCTTCTGGCATCCTCCCACTCAAGAATCTTCTTAAAACAGTCAGCAATCTGGCTGATGTGAGGCTGCCAGCCAACGGCACCCTTGTGTAACGTTGTCTTGGGGGTTGGTGATGAGGAGGCGTGGAAAAATACTTACCACCCACACCGACTGAAACCAATGCCCATCTTGTTAGTATATTGTTGATATATTTGTTACTATTGGTATATGTTATACTTTTGTTATATGTTGTTATTATTGTTATATTTATTATCATAATGTACTGGGCATGATTGTTGTATTATTAAAATTAATGCATTATTAGACACGGACAAATAGCTCTTCGAAAGTAATTTTAAAAGACGATATATTGCAAAAAATTAGAATATAAGCTAAAACGTTTTTTAAGATGATGTTCAAGTGTGTCATCAAGTCTTTTCATTCGTCTTGAATCTCAACACCTTGTTATATGCCTTTGTATGCAAGGACTCTTGGCGTCCTTGCTGGTGTGTGTGTGTGTTCACCTAGTTGTGTTTGCGGGGGTTGAGCTTGCTCTTTTAGCCCGCCTCTAATCTGTCAATCAATTGTTATTAACTACTGTTTTTTTTCCACACCACACACACACACACACACCAGGAAGCAGCCCATGACCGCTGACTAACTCCCAGGTACCTATTTACTGCTGGGTAACAGGGGGCATCAGGGTAAATGGAACTCTGCCCATTGTTTCTCGCCGGCGCTGGGAATCGAACCCAGGACCACAGGATCACGCGTCTAGCGTGCTGTCCTGTCAGCCACCCGCCCCTCACCAGTGTGTGTGTGTGTGTGTGTGTGTGTGTGTGTGTGTGTGTGTGTGTGTGTGTGTGTGTGTGTGTGTGTGTGAAAGAGACTAATTGCTCAAGGAACCTTTACAGAAACTGACAGTTTAAAGACAGAACGAAAGAGCCGACGCTTTATCCTCGGTAGCCCAATTAGGTGAATACGCCTAACACGTCTGATATTGAACACGTCACTATAGTACCAGTCACCCAAGAACACGTCACTCAAGAACACCCCCAATGAAGAACACGTCAATCAAGAACACCCCCAATGAAGAACACGTCAATCAAGAACACGTCAATCAAGAACACCCAGCGGCGAGCCGACAACCATAATACTTTAAAAAATGAACGACGTAATTAAACTTCAATCCCCTGAATTGTTTGGCAAAATTATGTAATCACTGACTCTCATCTTAGTGGGTAACAACGCAATTAGAAGCGGAGGTAAGAAGCACTTCTTGTTGATTGTTTTGTAATTGCACAAAGCTCCCTTCTGCTGTTTTGAAGAGGAAAGAAGAGATTTGGAGAACAAAATGAGTCTATATGCCTTGGTTGATTACTCTCTCAGTGTTGGTTGATTACTCTCCCAGTGTTGGTTGATTTGTCTCCCAGTGTTGGTTGATTACTCTCCCAGTGTTGGTTGATTTATCTCCCAGTGTTGGTTGATTACTCTCCCAGTGTTGGTTGATTTATCTCCCAGTGTTGGTTGATTACTCTCCCAGTGTTGGTTGATTTATCTCCCAGTGTTGGTTGATTATTCTCCCAGTGTTGGTTTATTACTCTCCTAGTGTTGGTTGATTACTCTCCCAATGTTGGTTGATTACTCTCTCAGTATTGGTTGATTACTCTCCCAGTGTTGGTTTATTACTCTCCTAGTGTTGGTTGATTACTCTCCCAGTGTTGGTTGATTACTCTCCCAGTGTTGGTTAATTATTCTCCCAGTGGTGGTTGATTATTCTACCAGTGTGGTTGATTACTCTCCCAGTGATGGTTGATTATTCTCCCAGTGTGGTTGATTACTCTCCCAGTGATGGTTGATTACTCTCCCAGTGCTGGTTGATTACTCTCCCAGTGTTGGTTGATTACTCTCCCAGTGCTGGTTGATTACTCTCTCATTGTTGGTTGATTACTCTCCCAGTGTTGGTTGATTACTCTCCTAGTGTTGGTTGATTACTCCTCCATTGTTAGTTGATCACTCTTCCAGTGTGTCTCATGGTACAAATTCCTAAACCTAACTCTCAAAAATTCAGACCTATTTCCATTACATCTTGCATGTGTAATGTCTTGGAGAGAATTTTTCTCAATCGTGCCATGTTTCAGGTCAAAGAAAAACTGGATCCTAACCTATATGGGTTCATGCCCAAGTGTAGCACACAAACATGATTTGCTGAATATTTTGTAAACTCCCATAATGGGACACAGGCAGTCTTTATCGACCAAAAGTCATCTTTCGATGTAGCGAATGGCGAAATAATAGAGCAACTGGCAAGTTAGTGAGGCTGAACCACTACCAGAATATTCAGATTGTAAACTCTGTGATAAACCTTTAATGCATTCTCTAGTTTAGTTCATTTATTAGGCACCCCATACCCATCTTGTAGGCGGAAGGGGAAAGCGCTACAGAGGCACATAATGGACTCAGGGACTGAAGCCCACAATTCATTTAGCTAAGCAAGTTACAATTTTGATGAGCTAGTTACAAAATTCAGTATAAGTCGTCACATCAACAATGAGTTCGAGACTGACCACAAGTACAGATTCTAAATTAAGCAACTGACCTATGTGGAGAGCTAGTGTCACAATTGATATGTTTGTCCTGCACTCCGCCCCCCATCCAGTGGGCAGCGGTGGATAGGTTACAATCACTCAGTTACTACCTACAGTTAGCAAACTTGGATATTTTGCTAAAATTTCTGGTAGCAGACCATTTTGAATGAAATATTTACACATCGTTGGAACATTGGTTATAGAATTGTCTCTGAATTCACGTATCTTTTTGTACTCCATCACATAGTGACGGAGGGTGTGCGAATAATTTTGTTGACACAGTTTACATTTGGTCCGGTCTACATCGCCAGACAATGAGAATACCCAGAGATACTTGTAACCGAGTCTGCCGAGCATTAGTAACATCTAGAAGTCTGCTGATTTTATTGGATGAACCATAGATGTGTGGCTCCTGTTGCATGATAGTATGATGATAGATGGACTTACTGGTGTCGATTTCACATTACCATAGATCTACGAGATCTTGTTGAAGTTCTCGGTGTACTGCTGCTCTCTGATTGCTCGTTGACAATCCAAGGTTACACTCAACGGCTCCTTTAAAGGCAGATTATTTGGCTAACTTATCAGCTCTATCATGCATTCGGAGGCCAACATGAGATGGAGACCACATGGCATGGACTCTGTTACCATCCTTAATAATTGTGTTGTATTTATGTCTAGCTTCGGGCACGAGCATATTACAGTTGTCTTAAAGAGTTGAGAGCATTCTCTAAAACACTTTATTGTTGAATGTGAAACCGTAAAAGACTTTAGATGCGCGAATTCGCCTTGGCTATAGACACATCTGGCAGATTAGTGAGGCTGAGCCACTACCAGAATACTGAGATTGTAAACTCTGATAAACCTTTGATGCATTCACTAGAACACTATATTGTTGAATGTGAAACCGTAAACAAATTTAGACCTCCTGACCTCTTGTACCACCAACTGTGTAACTATATCATTGACTTAGGTGTTCTGGACGACATCCTAACAATTTATCAAAAATTTGCTTGTCCATTTTAAAGAATAAAGAACAATTTTATTTATTTTACTTCTAAGCTGCATCACTTATGAACCCATCCCTGCCCTTGTGTGGCAGTGTACAATAGAAAGTTGTTTTCACAAATTCATACATTAAAACATTGATTGTAACTATGATATACATGTGCTTCAGCTTACAGTTCAGAGTTGTTGTCTTGTGTATGACCCTTTGTCCTGCGTGATAGTGAATACCACCATTATCCTCACTTTAATCAGAATTAATTGAAATCTTCTGATTAGGCAAAATTTTAAATAATTTTGTCAATAAAGATGTTAATAATAATAATCATCCAGTGTTGGTTGATTACTCTTTCAATGTTGGTAGATTACCGTCGCTATTGATTAACTACCCTATCACTATTTCTTGATTACTCTTCCAGTGTTGATTGTTTACTCTCTTACTGTTAGTTGAATATTATCTATTGGTAGATTGAAACGCCTTTTACTGTTCTTAGATCTTTTTCACTATGTTAGATGAACTTTCTACCAAAAGTGATTGAACTCTCATCCAGATTTGGGCGAATGGTGTTCTTGGGGAAATATCTCCCTGTGTTGATTGAACATGGTTCTAGCATAAAATGAATGATCTTAATGATCTTTCCCTAGTTTGATCATGGCTCCTCAGCTTTTGAATGACGTCTTAACTAAGGATGAAGATATATCTCAATTATTTTCAATATTCTCTCTCATTTTTTTCTATTTTCTTTGTATATCTAGATATTTCATATTGGCTCTGCATTTAAATGTGGATAATTGGTTCGTGAAGCGCGTCACGGAAGACAAGTAGTTTGCAATTCAGTCACTGGAACTCTCAGATGTTCGGCTACTGATCTGTGTATGTGTGGGATAGTCCGTGAGTCATTGTGTGTACTTGTAAGTCTGTGTATATATTTTGTGTGCGATTCTATGTTAGTCTGTGAGTTAGTGAAACTCTTAGCTCTTGTCTATATCCGAGAGTCTAACTGTGATTCGGTCTGTGTGCCTTTCTCTGCGAGTCTGCATGCCAATTTGTCTATGAATCTGTATCTTTGCCGGGTAGTCTGTGAGCATCTCTATTTACTTGTCTCGAGTGTGTATTTGTGAGTCAGTTAACATGTGGGACTGTTGGTCTGCATGTATACTAGGTCTGCGTCGCTTGTTGGTCCGAGAGTCATGCTCGGTCTGCGTTGCTGTTGGTCCGAGAGTCATGCTCCGTCTGCGTCGCTGTTGGTCCGAGAGTCATGCTCCGTCTGCGTCGCTGTTGGTCCGAGAGTTATGCACGGTCTGCGTCGCTGTTGGTCCGAGAGTTATCATGCTAGGGGTCCCAGCGTCCTGGAAGACTGCTGGGACACACTAGCAAAAACTGTCCCATCTGCCTTTATTTGGGTAATAGGATCAAGAAGAATTTTAGGAGGGAACTTTGTAAATATTTGCTCCTCAATTCAGATTTAAATGGTATTTGATGGGGGAGATATTCCTGGTGTTGCACAGGGGACAAACACCTCGGGTGAGAGAGGTGTTGCTCGGGTGAGAAATGGAGGACACATCTACACTTACTCAGGGGCCTTATTACTGTAACTATCTACACTACACCACCGTCACCACTGTAACCATCTACACTACTCCACCATCACCACTGTAACCATCTACACTACACAACCATCACCACTGTAACCATCTACACTACACAACCATCACCACTGTAACCATCTACGCTACACAACCATCACCACTGTAACCATGTACACTACACAGCAATCACCACTGTAACCATCTACACTACACAACCATCACCACTGTAACCATCTACACTACACAACCATCACCACTGTAACCATCTACACTACACAACCATCATCACTGTAACCATCTACACTACACAACCATCACCACTGTAACCATCTACACTACACAACCATCACCACTGTAACCATCTACACTACACAACCATCACCACTGTAACCATCTACACTACACAACCATCACCACTGTAACCATCTACACTACACAGCAATCACCACTGTAACCATCTACACTACACAACCATCACCACTGTAACCATCTACACTACACAACCATCACCACTGTAACCATCTACACTACACAACCATCACCACTGTAACCATCTACACTACACAACCATCACCACTGTAACCATCTACACTACACAACCACCACCACTGTAACCATCTACACTACACAACCATCACCACTGTAACCATCTACACTACACAACCATCACTACTGTAACCATCTACACTACACAACCATCACCACTGAAACCATCTACACTACACAACCATCACCACTGTAACCATCTACACTACACAACCATCACCACTGTAACCATCTACACTACACAACCATCACCACTGTAACCATCTACACTACACAACCATCACCACTGTAACCATCTACACTACACAACCACCACCACTGTAACCATCTACACTACACAACCATCACCACTGTAACCATCTACACTACACAACCATCACCACTGTAACCATCTACACTACACAACCATCACCACTGTAACCATCTACACTACACGGGCATCGCCAGGCAACCCCCTCCCCCCTCTAGGCAGTTTAATTGGCAATTTAAATGGATAATTTAATTGGGCAATGTAAATGGGTGATATCCCTCCCGGGTTAGGTCCCGGTAGTGCAGTCGGGTTCGTTCTCGACCCACAATCGAGAATTCCGAGTTCGAGTCCCGGGCGAACAGAAATAGTTGGGAACATTTCCTTTCACCTAATGCCACTGTTCATCTAGCAAAGCGTAGATACAGAGGAGTTAGTCAGCTTGTTGAGGGGTGGCATCCAGTACGAGGTCAGTAATTCGGCCCTGAGGGGGGGGGGTGGGGGCGGAAGGGGGTTAGACTTCGATAAAAGCCAAAACGTGTAGAATACAATCTGGCTTCCTGTCCCCCGGTACAATCAATTATTACATTGGTTATTTGAAAAACAAAGAATATAAAACTCTTGTATAAATAGTTGCATAACTTTTGGAACACACAATTGTATTAGTAATTACAATAATATTAGTGTAACACTTAGTTAAACAGATAATAATAATTATACTGGCATTAATAGTTATTAATAGTAATAATGAGAAAATCCAGAGAAACTGTGATGAGGGTTCGAACCTATGCGCTGGGTATTCCCACTCACTCGCCCCAGACAACCAGGCCACGACATGGTAAAAGGACTGTAACATGGAGTTCTAGTAAACACGTTTCGTTAAGGTTAGTGTGATTACTCAGTGTACTGAGAGAGGAGCCTCAGAGGTAGATCATTCCTGGATGACTGACCCAGAGTGCATGGAATGGGGGGGGGGGGGGAAAGGTTGTGTGAAAATCTTGGTCCAGCTTCAGTGGAAGGTAAGACAATTATCAAGATAAGGCACCAAGTCATTGCGACTATGTAGCAAGTAGAAGGGATCAGGAGGCTTCAGTGGAAACTTCAGGAAACCCTCGTGTGTTCAGAAGAACTCCAGGAAGCAATTTTTGTTTTCCATGTCGTGGCCTGGTTGTCTGGGGCTTGTGCGTGTGACTACCAACCACATAGGTTCGAATCCTCATCACGGCTTGTGCGAATTTTCTCACTGATACATCACGTTAGTGTGATTACTCTGTGAATAGTTATACTGGTAATGGGATCAACAGCAATAACTGTGGGTGTATTATTATTATCAGACATAGATGAAGTAATACGGGAAGAGATGCTGGAGAACCTTGAGGTGGAAGAGTTAGGGAAGAGTTTTTATCAGATTGGAGGAACTTGGTATTCTGGGAGGCTGCCAAGAGGAAGAGCAGGCCTTGTAGCAAGGGTAATGGTCCACACAGTGAAGGCTGAAGAACACTAGATGACCAAAGAAGGAATTGATAGATGTTGTTAAGGAAGCCTGGAAACAGACCAACCAAAGTTTACTTACCGACGTGACCGTCTTGAGAAAACTACGAGACGATGCGATGCTAATGGATTCTGGAAGAAAGTTAAAAACAGATAAACGGAGAAGAATACAATTAGAATTAATCAACTTGTATTTATAGTAGTTCAGGAAACTCATTTATACAATTAGTTTCTTAGGTGCAGATAATAATTCTATTAGAATTTTGTCGGTTACTTTTTCATTAAAATGATTTGTATTTTAAATAATTTGATTATTCTACAAAAGACATTAAAAGTCAGACACATTAGTCAAGATGAGACAGAAAACTCACATTACTGCAGCAGACACCATCAAGTGTGAGAGAGTAGTATTCAAGTGAGGAATGGAGTTATTGTGACCATTAAGTTGACTTTGAAATATAATGCCATACTATAAAACAAAGACGAAAGGCACGCACAACCCATAGAAACCTTTCCATTTAGCTGTTCCATATCAATCAAAAACTTTCCAATCGTCAAAAGAAGGTGTGCATAGCGCTAAGTTCACACCATGATGTTATTCACTAGCAAGCACCATGATGTTATTCACTAGCAAGCAGGCCGATTTATCTTGAGGTCATCTTGAGATGATTTCGGGGCTTTAGTTTCCCCGCGGCCCGGTCCTCGACCAGGCCTGCACCCCCAGGAAGCAGCCCGTGACAGCTGACTAACACCCAGGTACCTATTTTACTGCTAGGTAACAGGGGCATAGAGTGAAAAAAACTCTGCCCATTGTTTCTCGCTGGCGCCCGGGATCGAACCCGGGACCACAGGATCACAAGTCCAGCGTGCTGTTCGCTCGGCCGACCGGCTCCCTACAAATTCTTATACAAATTACGTAAATATTGTTCCTCCACCATACTGCAACATCAGCACAAACCCCGATATTCTGCGTCTGCAAAACAGTGAACAGAAGAAATTAGAAACCCTCTCACATTGCTACATAATACCTGATCATAATACCTGACGTATTGACAACTTTCAACCTTCGGTCTGAAATAATTTATGGAGAAAATCCGGACTCAGTAAACAGTAAAGTAAACTCTAACTAGTAGACTCTAACAGTAAAGAATGTGATAGCTTTGCACATTCGATTATAATTTACCTATATTTGGCGTTAGAAGACGGCTCCTAAATGAATTATATGTTGCGTATGTTTTCGCCGTCGTTGGTACGTAGACTCCATCATATAGTTAACGCAAACATAGGAACGAAGACAGCCAGAGTTAGCGCAATACCAGTTAGTTAATAGTCCTGGACCTGGATTCACAAAGCAGTTACGCAAGCAGTTACGAGTGTGAACATCTTTCTTCAATCTTTGACGGCTTTGGTTACATTAATTAAACAATTTACAAACATGAAAACTTCCCAATCAACTGTTGTTATTGTTATAAACAGCCTTCTGGTGCTTCGGAGTTCATTAACTGTTTAATAATTGTGAACAAAGCCGCCAAAGAGTGAGAAAAGATGTACAAGTTCGCACGTGCTTGCGTAACTGCTTTGTGAATCTGGCCGCTGGGTGACAGATATGAATTGAACGATTCTTAAGAGTGACAATTGACATGTTATTATGACAGGAGATGTTAATACAGTCGCTGCAAAGATTCCATCCCTGGTTCTAGGTTTTCAGAGTGTTAGAAACTCCAAAAGTGGAGGACACGTCTGCACTTAATCATGGGCCTTATCACCGTAACCATGTACACTACACAACCATCATCACTGTAACCATCATCACTACACAACCGTCATCACTGTAACCATCCTCACTACACAACCATCATCACTGTAACCATCACCACTGTAACCATCATCACTGTAACCACCACCACTGTAACCATCTACACTACACAACCACCACCACTGTAACCATCTACACTACACAACCACCACCACTGTAACCATCATCACTACACAACCATCACCACTGTAACCATCTACACTACACAACCATCACCACTGTAACCATCTACACTACACAACCACCACCATTGTATCCATCTAAATGTAAATCAGGTGACCCATCCTGATTCGGGTATCAGTAAAAGACAGAGGTCGATAAGATTTAAAGTCGCTAATTGTCACTACGAACACCAACCAACTGAAACAATCCCTTTGAAATTTATAGAAACTGAATGACAATTGTAAAGAAAATATGAAAATACAGACATTGTTGGCACAATCACTTAAAAACAATACATTAGTCCATTCGGAACACCAACGTTCAGTGGCGCTTAACGAAATATGAGCAAGAACATGCATATGATGACTATATCATCACTTACAAATCTGATGGTTTGTAAGATATTGAAAAGATACAACTGTGGTGGTTGAGTATACTTTTAATTAATGACTATATAAATAGCATTGTTTAAAGAATCTGTCCTGAGATTATCTTGAGATGATTTCGGGGTTTAGCGTCCCCGCGGCCCGGTCCTCGACTAGGCCTCCTTTTTTGTTACACATCTCCAGGAAGCAACCCGTAGCAGCTGTCTAACTCCCAGGTACCTATTTACTGCTATGTGAACAGATGCTTCAGGGTTTAAGAAACTCTGCCAATTTGTTTTCTCTTCCGCCGGGGATCGAATCCGGAACCATAGGACTACGAATCCCGAACGCTGTCCACTCAGCGGTTAAGCCCTCTGTCACCAGGCCCCAGGATAGCGATAATGATAATGACAAGGAAGACACTCATAAAGTAATTAACAATGACAGTAGTTAATGTAAGCATTGCATTAAGACCAAAATATAAACTGGGATATAAAAATACTGAAATTATTCAGTATTCTCATATTTTGAAAATTTATAGAAGGGAAGGGAACTATGAGGGGGCCAAGTGCCAAGGTATTACGACCATATAGGACTTGAGAGGGATCATGATAAGGATTTGGGATGGGACGGAGGGAAAGAATGGTGCCCAACCACTTGTGGGCGGTCGGAGATTGAACGCCGACCTGCATGAAGCGAGGCCATCGCCCCTACCGTCAAGCCCAAAGTGGTTGGGACAAAGTTATAGAAACAATTTATAAATTACATAAATTATTAGTGATCTACATAAACTGTTATTTTACCCATTTTCTAACTATTGTTATCTCTCTCGTGCAGTGAGAGCCCATCAGCCCCGTTACGCGCACACCAGATGAAACAGTTTCTTACCGAGGTAACGGCCGTCCAGGAGAAGATTCCTATGTAAATATTGTCTGGTCCTCGCTCTCTCCGGTAATCAAGGCTCGCTCGCCTCCTCCTGCCGGACCATTGTGCTAATATCTTTCTCATGACACTGTTGAAATAGAAAAGGATATCCCGCAGGATTTTGGAATTGACATTAAAAACTAGTATTTCTTATTATACACACACACACACACGCACACACAGGTGTCTTGTAGCTGATTGGGCAGCGCGCAGCACTCGTAATCCTGTGGACCGGGTTCGATTCCCGGACCAGGTAGAAACATATGGGCAAAATTTCTTTCTCTAACAGTAAATAGGTACCTGGGAGTTAGACAGCTGTTACGGAGCTGCTTCCTGGAAGGGGTGTGTGTGTGTGTGGAGAAAAATAGTTTGCAGTTAGTAACAGTTGATTGACAATTGAGAGGCGGGCCGAAAGAGCAGAGCTCAACCCCCGCAAGCACAACTAGGGCAATACAACTAGGTGAATACACACACTCACATATATCTTAATTGTTGTTCGAGCTTTACTGATAACTATTATTTTCTTTTTAATTTATTTGATTCGTTTCACAGAATTTCTGTTTTGAGACGTGATTATTTTTCTTATCATTTGCCAGAAAATTTGGTAAATTCTAATTACAGGTAAAAATGTTAACTCAATAAATAAAATCAATATTAAATGAATAGCCGGCGCTTGTCATCTACATGTAAATAAAAACAAATCGTCAAAACTTGTGCTAAAGTGCGACATTTTTGCTCATTATATATCATTTTTCAGTGTAAGTTTACACATTATAAATAATTTTCTAGTGTAAGTTTACTCATTATATATCATTTCTCAGTGTTAGTTTCCTCATTATACAACATTTCCCAGCTTAAGTTTCTTCATTTTATATATAATTTCGCAGTGTAAGTTTCACCATTATATATCATGTCCCGTTGTAAGCACGACATCAGTCTAATAGTCACATTTCTCTTTTGTTCTAAATAATTTCATGCTCATTACCCCAAAAAATCCAATTACAATTAATTCATTAATTTAAAACTGTTTTTTTTCTTTGGCCCTCGAAAATGTGTAAAATATATGCTGTGTCCCTCGTACTGAAAAGTGTTGAGACTTCTGTACCAGACAGATGGAGTCCATTTTTCTTTCTGCCATTCAATATGTATACTAACTAAATGTTTTGATGTATTTTTCGCAGCTTAACTCTGCTGCTCATGTCGCGTGTTGCAAATAAGTCGCGTAGGTCCGAGAATCACGATCATGTGAAGCAGTATCGATAAATCTTTCTCTGTAATAATGCACAGTTTTGTACTAGAAGCCGCTGAGTACCAATGTTCAGTACTATTTTGGTAGTCAACGTGCTGGATATTGCTAAGTACAGATTATAAAGGAACTTCTGTAACTAACTATGGAGTCATTTTCAGAGGTTATGCAAGACGTAGCTATGTGCTAATGTTCACGTTGAAGGGAAGGGAACAATCAGGAGGAAACGTCAAGACATTACGACTTTAGAGCACTGGGTAGGGGTCACGATAAAGTTTTGGGATGGGACGGGGAGAGAAGGGATGGTGCCCAACCACTTGGACGGTCGGGGATTGAACGCCAACCTGCATGAAGCGAGAGTCACAATGAGTAATATTCTGTAGTTAGTTGAATGCTGCTACGTACCGGTGATCAATGTTCTGTCGTGTCAATCTGTACTAATTTGCAGTGTTAAGCTGGGCGTCGCTCTGTTCGTATCAACATTAGTTGGTTTCTTTCATTTACATAACAGTTTAAGAGTTTGGGATACCATTAAACTCATTACAAGCAATCTGTACGATTTACTATTATTAATCTTCTTTAAAAAAAAATGAGCAAAAAAAATAAATGTACAAACCAGAAAATATTAAAATCTCGATAGTTGTGATAAACGGGTTTTAAGGTAAACATTACAAAAATGCTGAAAGAAATGCAAATTACTGGAGATATTTAATTTATTTATCGTTATATATGCTTGCTTGGTTCCTCGTCCCCAGGGCCGAACGGGATGTCACTCTGAGCCAGACAACAGCGTGTATTCCGGTCTATTCCTGTTGATCTCAAGGGTTACCAACAGTGGGAACATCTACTCCTGTTGCTCTGAAGGTTAACCAACACTGGGTACATCTACTCCTGTTGATCTCCAGGGTTACCAACAGTAAGGATATCTACTTCTGTTGATCTGAAGGGTAACCAATAGTGGATACATCTACTCCTGTTGATTTCCAGGGTTACAAACAGTAGGGATATCTACTTCTGTTGATCTGAAGGGTTACCAAGAGTGGATACATCTACTCCTGTTGATCTCCAGGGATACCAATAGTGGATATATCTACTCCTGTTGATCTCCACGGTTACCAACAGTGGGGGCATCTACTCCTTTTGATCTCCAGGGTTACAAACAGTTGGGACATTATTCTTCTGAACACTGAAGATACAACAGACCTGGAGGACAGCGTAACACACACCTGGAGGACACATGAACACACACCTGGAGGACAGTGTTACACACACCTGGAGGACAGTGTTACACGCACCTGGAGGACAGTGTTACACACACCTGGAGGACAGTGTTACACTCACCTGGAGGACACATGTAAAACACACCTGGAGGACAGTGTAACACACACCTGGAGGACACATGTAACACACACCTGGAGGACACATGTAACACACACCTGGAGGACAGTGTAACACACCTGGAGGACACATGTAACACACACCTGGAGGAAAGTGTAACACGCACCTGGAGGACACATGTAACACACACCTGGAGGACACATGTAACACACACCTGGAGGACAGTGTAACACACCTGGAGGACACATGTAACACACACCTGGAAGACACATGTAACACACACCTGGAGGACACATAAACACACACCTGGAGGACAGTGTAACACACACCTGGAGGACACATGAACACACACCTGGAGGACAGTGTAACACACACCTGGAGGACAGTGTAACACACACCTGGAGGACACATGTAACACACACCTGGAGGACACATGAACACACACCTGGAGAACAGTGTAACACACACCTGGAGGAAACATGTAACACATGCCTCAAAATATTGAACACATTATTAAAATTTAATCATCTATATCCTGTTTGCCAAGGTTTGCTTGTTCCGCTGATTGCTTTTAAACATGTGTAATTTTAACTTTTATCCACACTTCGATGATTGTTTGGAGAGTTACTTGGATAAAATCTCCTTGGATTCAGACCGTTTTCTGAAAATAATGGTAAAACAGATTAACCTTTACCCTCATACACCCAAATGTTCACAAACATATATATATATATATATATATATATATATATATATATATATATATATATATATATATATATATATATATATATATATATATATATTCAGACAATATGATTGATGCATTTATTCTAAGGGAAAAAATTATAGAATATTATAATCACATTTTGTGGCCATCTTTGATTTGAACCTATAGGATATTACTTCAGATTCTCTGTTTTCTCTGCCTAGTACAACATTGTTAGTACTAGTAGATAGTACAGAAATTTACTAGTACTAGTTGTAATACTAGAGCCATTATTAGTACTAGGCAGTACTAGTACTAGGCAGTACAAGTACTAGTACTAAATAGTACCGGGGTGGTATGTGTGTGGTGTAGGATATGCTTCTTGTATAGTGAGGAATCCCCCTTGCCTTTCTCAGTTATCTAATGCTGAGACTACTACTACTTTAGCTTCTTATCTAGCATATTTTATCATTGTGAGTAAGGAATAAATTAATGGATTCCTTACAGTTCTAAAGATGATCTGGTGGTCACTCTGGCATTCACACACGGCTATTTACGCAGCTTCTCACTCTAAGCAGTTTGAATTTGCTCGTTCTTTCTGAGCTTTCTAAATATATCGCATTCTCTTAGCACGGTGAGTTATTTTAACCTTTAATGCCAGACTATACGACTTTTTTTGCACGGTTTCACTATAACCTTTGTTCCGAAGAACCTTCGCTCTCAGTAGCGAACGATTTACCTGTCCAGAACCCATGTTGATGTTTGTTCACAAACCTAATGTTCTCCAGGTGTGCAACCAGTCGTAGCCTAATTATTCTTTCCAGTATTTTACAGGGGATGCTTGTCAGTGATACAGGTCTATAGTTAAGTGCCTCCTCTCTATCACCTTTCTTGAAGATCGGCACGACATTTGCCTTCTTCCAGCAACTGGGCAATTCTCCTGACATAAGTGACTCATTAAAAATCATTGCCAGAGGTACGCTGAGGGCCTGTGCTGCTTCTTTTAGTATCCACGGTGATACTTTGTCTGGTCCAACTGCTTTAGTTGCATCTAGAGTTGTCAACTGCTTCATTACCTCCTCTGCTGTCACCTCTATATCTGATAGTCTTTCATCTAGGGTAACCCCTTCCAACAATGGGAGCTGCTCAGGCTCGGTAGTGAACACTCCATGGAAACTGGCATTCAGTGCCTCGCAGATTTCCGAGCGGCAGATTCTTAAAAGGGTCTCAAATGCTGTCGAAAATTTTGCCAGCCTCCCATTTCCTGTTGATGCTCCCGTGCTTAAATTATAATATTCATGCAGTGTTTGACTGTTCCATTACAACTGAAGGACCGAGGACCCTGGCTCACTTGACACATGGGTTGTAATAGAGACACTGGCTCACCTGACACAGGGGTTTTAATAGAGACTCTGACTCACTTGACACATGGGTTGTAATAGAGACTCTGGCTTATCTGACACATGGGTTGTAAGAGAGACTCTGGCTCACCTGACACATGGGTTGTAACAGTCTCTGGCTCACTTGACACATGGGTTGTAACAGAGACACTGGCTCACCTAACACAGGGGTTGTAACAAAGACTCTGGCTCACCAGACACATGGGTTGTAAGAGACACTGGCTCACCTGGCACAGGGGTTGTAACAGAGACTCTGGTTCACCTGACACAGGGGTTGTAATAGAGACTCTGGCTCACTAGACACAGGGGTTGTAACAGAGACTCTGGCTCACCTGGCACAGGGGTTGTAATAGAGACTCTGGCTCACCTGACACAGGGGTTGTAATAGAGACTCTGGCTCACTAGACACAGGGGTTGTAACAGAGACTCTAGCTCACCTGGCACAGGGGTTGTAATAGAGACTCTGGCTCACTAGACACAGGGGTTGTAACAGAGACTCTGGCTCACTTGACACAGGGGTTGTAACAGAGACACTGGCTCACCTGGCACAGGGGTTGTAACAGAGACTCTGGTTAGTTAAGAAGGTCTCCCCATCCTCTAAGGTGTCGGGAAGGATTTGGTCCAGCGTCTCAGGGAGCACAATACACACAAGTCCTCCGGCCACACTCACGATACCCAGGATAACGTAGGGCAGGTAATATCCATACTTGGCCTGTTGGAATAGAATTGCACTTAGACATGTGTCATGGGGTGAGATATGGAGAATTCCTAGCATATACAGCATGAGGGTAAGACAGGTGATTCTCACTCTGGAAACGTCCTCTTTCCTCAAGGGGGGTCTTTCTTAAGATCTCTTACATCTGGTAAAACCTAAGAGTGGCATGTCCGCCTCCAACTGTAACTGATTCGTTATAAAATATTACTTTAATTCAGCCAATATATGACTGTTCTAGAATGATTGAGTGTGCATGTGCGTGTACTTGTGTGTGTGTCACTCACAAGTACTCCGCCATCACTCACCTAATTGTGATAGCGGAGGTTGAGCTCTGGCTCAACCGACTGGCTCGCCAGCCTGCTATCGCCCTCACGTCATGGCGCCAAACCGAAAGAGACGTCGCCTTTTCGTATATACACGGGGTGTAAGCCCCCTCACTAGCAAAACTTATAAATGATAATTTCTCCATAAATATGAAAACTATCCAGTAGCCTCTCATATCAAATGATTCCCTGCATCTCAGAAAAATTGCAAGGTAAGAATATATGACTCTTAACGTTGGTACTGGGAAAAAATAGGAGAGGGCACCGTCACAACATACACGCCAATTCATACATCTCAAGTCTATATGACGCATCTGGCTAAAGCGGGCAACAGAGTGGGGTTGACATCAAGATCACACACACACACACACACACACACACACACACACACACACACACACACACACACACACACACACACACACACACACACACACACACACACACACACACACACACACACACACACACACACACACACACACACACACACACACACACATCAGAGTGGTTGACAAATGGAATGCATTAGGAAGTGATGACAGTTTCAAGTGTAGACATGATAAAACCCAATAGGCTCAGGAACCTGTACACCAGTTGATTGACGGTTGAGAGGCGGGACCAAAGAGCCAGAGCTCAACCCCCGCAAGCACAATTAGGTAAGTACAATTAGGTGAGTACACACACACACACACACACACACACACACACACACACACACACACACACACACACACACACACACACACACACACACACACACACACACACACACACACACACACACACACACACACACACACACACACACACACACACACACACACACATACGGCCCAAGATATGATGGACTACATCACGCAAAAATGCAAGGCCGCAGCAAACAAGTTTGTCCCAGTTCAAAAGGAAAACAGTGAAATGAAGATGAGAAACCCATGGTTTAATCAGAGATGTAGGCTAGCTAAGCAGCAAAGTAAAAGGGCATGGAGAAACTGTAGGAATAACAGGACACTGGTGAGCAGAGAAAGATACCAGAATGCCAGGAATGAATATGTCAGGATGAGAAGAGAGGCAGAAAGACAATACGAAAATGACATCGCCAGCAAGGCAAAGACTCAGCCTAAATTGCTGCATAGCCACATCAGGAGAAAAACAACAGTAAAGGAACAGGTTATAAAATTAAGGATAGGGGCAGAAGGATTCACTACAAACGACAAGGAAGTGTGTGAGGAACTGAATAAGAAATTCCAAGAGGTCTTCACCTTAGAGCAAGGAGAAATCCCAGAGATAAGAGAGGGAATAGCTAACCAGGAACCACTGGAAGAGTTTGAGATTACCAGCGGGGAAGTAAGGAAGTGTTTACTAAAGTTGGGTGTGACAAAGGCTATAGGCCCAGATGGAATCTCCCCTTGGATACTAAAGGAAGGAGCAGAAGAACTGTGCCTCCCACTCTCCATAGTGTATAACAAATCACTGGCAACAGGGGAACTGCCAGAAATTTGGAAAGCAGCTAACGTAGTCCCGATATACAAGAAAGGGGATAGACAGGAGGCACTGAATTACAGGCCAGTGTCCTTAACTTGCATACCATGCAAGATGATGGAGAAGATTGTGCGAAGAAAGCTAGTGGAGCACCTGGAGCGAAAGAACTTTTTAACACAGCATCAACATGGATTCAGGGATGGCCGGTCCTGCCTCACAGGGTTACTTGAATTCTACGGCCAGTCAACAAAAATAAGGCAAGAAAGAGAAGGGTGGGCAGACTGCATATTTTTGGATTGTCAGAAAGCCTTTGATGCAGTGCCACACAAGAGGCTAGTGAAAAAACTGGAGATGCAGGCTGGAGTGAAAGGGAAGGTACTCCGTTGGATACAGGAGTACCTAAGTAACAGGAGACAACGAGTCAGTGTGAGGGGTGAGGTCTCAGATTGGCGAGACGTTACGAGTGGAGTACCGCAGGGGTCGGTCCTTGGACCTATACTGTTTCTGATATATGTAAATGATCTCCCAGAGGGTATAGAATCGTTTCTCTCAATGTTTGCCGATGATGCAAAAATTATGAGGAGGATTGAAACTGAGGACGATAGTAAGAGGCTACAAGATGACCTAGACAGACTGAGTGAATGGTCCAACAAATGGCTGTTGAAGTTCAACCCGAGTAAATGCAAAGTAATGAAAATAGGCAGTGGAAAAAGGAGGCCAGATACAGGATACAGAATAGGAGATGAAGTACTTAATGACACGAACAGAGAGAAAGATCTAGGAGTTGATATCACACCAAACCTGTCTCCTGAAGCCCACATAAAAAGAATAACGTCTGCGGCATATGCGAGGCTGGCTAACATGAGAACAGCGTTCAGGAACCTGTGTAAGGAATCATTCAGAATCTTGTACACCACATATATAAGACCAATCCTGGAGTATGCGACCCCAGCATGGAGCCCGTACCTTGTCAAGCACAAGACGAAGCTGGAAAAAATCCAAAGGTATGCCACTAGACTAGTCCCAGAACTAAGAGGCATGAGTTACGAGGAAAGGCTGCGGGAAATGCATTTTACGACACTGGAAGACAGAAGAGTAAGGGGAGACATGATCACAACCTACAAAATCCTCAGAGGAATCGACCGGGTAAACAAGGATAAACTATTCAACACTGGTAGGACGCGAACAAGGGGACACAGGTGGAAACTGAGTACCCACATGAGCCACAGAGATGTTAGAAGGAACTTTTTCAGTGTCAGAGTAGTTAACGGATGGAATGCATTAGGCAGTGATGTGGTGGAGGCAGACTCCATACACAGTTTTAAATGTAGATATGATAGAGCCCAGTAGGCTCAGGAATCTGTACACCAGTTGATTGACAGTTGAGAGGCGAGACCAAAGAGCCAAAGCTCAACCCCCGCAAGTATAAATAGGTGAGTACACACACACACACACACACAAATTTGCATATATTATTTACGTTATTTCTCATCAGTTTAGGAAAGAGAGGAGCAACTTACCAGGTAGACAACATAAGGTGACGCGAAGAATGTGAGGAAGCCTAGGGTGTGTATGGTGGAGACTCCTGAGCCCCGGGCCACCGTAGGCAGCACCTCCACCGGGTACTGTTGGCCCGAGTTCATGGCTATGGTGATGAGGAACCGTCCCACCATCGCCACCCCGACCACGCCGGCTGTGTTGGCTGTGAGGGATGACCATACTTGATATATATATATATATATATATATATATATATATATATATATATATATATATATATATATATATATATATATATATATATATATATATATATATATATATGTCGTACCTAGTAGCCAGAACGCACTTCTCAGCCTACTATGCAAGGCCCGATTTGCCTAATAAGCCTAGTTTTCATGAATTAATGTTTTTTCGACTACCTAACCTAACCTAACCTAACTTTTTCGGCTACCTAACCTAACCTAACCTATAAAGATAGGTTAGGTTAGGTTAGGTAGGGTTGGTTAGGTTCGGTCATATACCTACGTTAATTTTAACTCCAATAAAATAAAATTGACCTCATACATAATGAAATGGGTAGCTTTATCATTTCATAAGAAAAAAAATAGAGAAAATATATTAATTCAGGAAAACTTGGCTTATTAAGCAAATCGGGCCTTGCATATTAGGCAGAGAAGTGCGTTCTGGTTACTAGGTACGACATATATATATATATTTATATATGGTCCCCAGGCATATATGCAACTGAGTCACTTCTGGGGGTGTGAGGTTTCAGTTATGTATACATTTATACATGTATACAGTTATGTATACATTATGTCAGTAATATATATATATATATATATATATATATATATGTATATATATATATATATATATATATATATATATATATATATATATATATATATATATATATATATATATATATATATATATATATATATATAT